CTGCTGTTTTAGTGTACATGTATTACAAAAGCCACATTGGAATTTCTCTTTCTTACATACAACCAAAGAGCTGAGGGGATGATTAACAATGGGTGTGTGGGATTATTTTGCTTTACATGCAGTTTTCTCGTATATGCAAAACAAAATAAACTTTTACTCGTTCTAGGATTTCAAGAACTCGCAGAGAGTAGAAATATTTATAAAAAATTTATTGCTCTCTGACTGATTGCTTAACAATTGGGAACAATAAGTCTTCCAACTCAAGCTTCTAGCTATTCAAATATGAACACTTCTCAGAAGCCATTCCGACTGGGTCCGCTTTGTTAGAGAAAGTGTTTTTTGTGGTGAATTCTGTCCACTTCAACAGGTTTTTCAAACAAAGTGGTCTCTGTTACCTGCTAAGCTGGAGAAATTCCACAGAAAATTTTGTCTAAAAAAACGAGTGTAATATTTTTACGAATTTCAAGTCTGACAACAAGATTTTGGTATTTCACATATACTGTCAAAAGTTGTTAATCCGGACACCCATACTGGAATGATCTATAATCTGGACCTCAAAGCTACGAACTTTCTGCGCATGCGTGAAAGCATGCTCATAGGCGTTTACTCATGCGTGTGATACCTTTACACATGCGCGTTTAATGTATGGTTAATTTATTTTCTAACGAAATTCTTTTAAATTCTTTAGTTAATTGTTCTTCAGAGTGTAATTTTTTGTGTGCAGATTATCTAACCCTTCCATACACTACCTGTTTTACTTAACTTACACTCCATTAAGTTCAATTTGATTTTATGCACATAGATTTCTTTCCAAAAAATTTCAAGAAATTTTTTTCCTAAAATCTTAATAATAAAATTTTTTAAACAAATATTTCTTGAAATTCATTCAGTATATTGGTTTATTCGATTTAATTGAAGTTTTCGATTAGACTATCTTCCCTTCGACATTTAAGAAATTTTTATATGTCAGTTCATGTTTATAAGGATTACAGAGCCATACGAGTGTAAAGCTCAGGCATGCCGAAAGCACAGTTTTAACATTTCAAAATGCGAGAAAGAAGACTATACCATTAAAATAACCAGCACTTAAAATATAAGTGCAAACAAGAAAGCTGTTTGCAACATTTTATATTTCTTCCTGTGCTTGACGAATCAGAAGTTGCAATCAACTTTTAATTCAAAAATAAAATATTTGATTGTATAATATATGATATATTAAAAAGTAAATTGTCCGTTACAATTATTATTTTGTCCTGTTTCTACCAAAATTCGGTAATGTACGATAACAGCAAGCGATTTTGACTTTCATTTGTATTAAGTACCACGATCCAAACTGTTGTAAAATGATTTATTATCATTCACAAGCTTGCAGTCACAAGAAAAATAATACATACCTGCTGTCTGACAATGATACTTCACTTTCCGGGTTCTTCAGTAAAGTGCTCTTTTAAACAGGTAAAGTGCTGTTTTGAACAGACTTCACGTCCTATTATAAGCTTTGTGTCAACTGACTGTTGCCTGCAGAAAGGTAGGGGAAAAAATACCAGAGAGCATCATCTTAACATGTCTTTCAAGTAATTTTAAATTCATGTAAACACATTTTTAAAGGAATCTGTGAAAATTCTTGAATACATATTAAGCTGTTAAAAAAGGGTTAATATCTCAGATTATAATTTATGAAGTAAATGGTATCAGGAGATGTTATTTCATTACAGAATGGTTACAGGGTGAGATGCACTTTGTGTCAAGTATTCACCTAGAAAAATTATGTGACCATCTCAAAGCTTAATATATAAATAATGCCTCTTAATCAGGCACGTAAATGGTAGAACATATACAATCAATGAAGACATAGAGCAAGTGCATGGAAAATGTTTAGCCCAAACACATATGAAGTGTATTGCTCAGGTGCTGTGTTGATTCAAATTGTTTATGGGTAGTTCATTTGTGTTAGCTAAGAAGATTGTCATATGAACCCACTGTCAGTCGTGAATCAGTTGAGCAAGACTGGCAGTGTTATCTCGCTAGTGGGCTAGTTGTAATGAGGTAAGCAAGACTGACAGGTTGTCTCATTATGAAAGTGGGCTAGTTATACTTCTGAATTATCCAAACAATGATTCAGTCCAGGGATAAATAGAAAGGGCTAGTTCGTTCCTTTGTTCGACTCTTCGCCAACTTGAGCCTCATGGTGGGAGTTTAACCGGAAATAGTTTGACGTGACTGTGTTGCACCTGCTCTGATTTCGAGCATTTAAAACTGTAGTTTCATTCAGCTGCGAGGTGTTTTTCTGGAGATTGCATATCCCAAATTAATTTTAATCATATATAGTTTTCTAATAATATAAATATTTAAAATAATATGTATATAGTTTTAGTCAGTTTCCTTTTAAATTCTATATAATTATAATATAACGATATATAGAACAATATAATATCTAATATATAATATAACAATATATTAATATAGAATTTATAATATATAAATTCTGTATGAATATATCGTTTCTGTAATATGGCTTTTTGTGCTGTAGCAACATGTCATAACACTTATAGAAATACGAAAGGAAGCTCATGCTTTCCCAAAAGACAATTTGCTTCTGATGAAAGAATGAATACATGAATGTCGAAGGAATGATTCTATTAATGTGAGGAACGCAAGAATTTGCAGCCAACATTTTCTGTGTGATGATTATGAAGATGACAAGAAAAATAGCCTTCCATCGGTTATTTCTAATTAGCCTTTTAAATCTTGCTCGACATCATCTATCAATCTAGTGGGCGGTCTTCCTTTTCGTCTTCCCCCTTAATTCTCGAAAAGGTTATCTTTTTGGTTGGAAATACATCATCATATCTAAAAAAAAGGAATAATAATTTCAATAAATTTTCTTTTTGGCCTGTACCAGGGCTTGAAAACATCCTATGATGTTCAATATACTTGTATTTTAACCTCTAGATTAACTCAGTATGCACTTAAAAGTCTCTTTAATAAGATTCAAGAGCTTGGTAGGTTTAATGACCATCCATCACCTAGTGAAGTTATATACCACTTAAAGCAATTATTATTCGCTAATAAGCTACCAAAATTATCTTGAAAAGTGTGCATACTAAAGGAAGCAGAAATATTGATTCATATGTAGCATCAGAATTACTTGAAAGGGTTTTGAACACTGATGAAGAGGATTGCTTTTCCATTAAATACTATTGATGATTCAGATTTGGATTTCATAGAGGAGCCTTCTTCTATGGCTTGGGAATTAGAATTGAATTCTGCCAGACAATTTTTGATCGCAGAAAAAGAAGCATTAACATATGTTACAGGTTATGTTGCCTACCGTGTGATAAAGATCCAGCATTGGGAACAATATCTAAAAACAGTGCTGATGAAGCAATATTTCATGTAGAATAGCTTAAATTATTGACCTTATAAGGTATTTCTCCCACTTTCCTAGCGTCCTTCGTAGTGTAAGGGTAGCACGCTGGGCCGGTATTCCAAAGGTCCGTGGTTTGATTCCTGGCGAAGGTGGTTGCATATTTTTCACCTTTTCGGCTTCCAATTAACCTATGCTCTACAAGTGGCGCCCGGACTAAAAGGGTTGTGGATAAGATTCTCTGCACCCAGGATTGGCTGACTGGTCCCTAACCCTAGTCGCCCTTTAAATGGGGAGTCTATAGGTATTTCTCCCACTTTCCAGAGTCTCGTAGTGTACGGTACACGTGGGCCAGTATTCCAGAGGTCGTGGTTCGATGCCCGCGAAGGCCTTCCATATTTTACAACTTTTCTGTCCATGAACCTAATGACTCTACATCTTAGAGGCTTGGCTGCATATGCCATTCGTATTGAGAACACGTTACAAGTCACAAAAAATATTTTGTGCAGTTCATGGTACTGCTTACTATAAAGGGAATCATGTAATTGGCTCTTTATTTTGCAGAGTGCAAACTTTTATTAGGATACGTTTCTTAAATAGAAATGCATATGTTTCCCCCCCCAAAGGAAAGCAACCTAAAAGGCAAAAAAGTGGATTTCTTCGAATGTGGCAGCCAATAAATAATATTTGAACAGCTTGTAGTTGCAGTGTGACTGTGCAAGTGAGCATTTATATCATTTGCATTTAAATACTATATGTTTTGGTTTGAAATATTTCTGGTTGACATTTTAGAAGTTAATAGTATAAAGCATATTTCAAATGAGAACTAATTTTAAGTACTTTTTGAAGTTCTTGTTGTATTCTTTTTTATTATTATTGATTAAATTTTGTGCTAACTTAGCATTTTAGATTAAATATAATAGTATAACTTCAAAGTAATTGTCATAAAAAGAACTGCCTCCTTAACCCCCACTTTTGAAAAATTAGGTGATTTTTTTGAGGTACTGTCAGTAAAATTGTTTTGTCAAAATTAAGATAACAATCTTACATATATTTATTAAAGTAATGTACGTATAAGTTATAAATTATTTTTAAATATCTATATTATGCTGAATTGGAAGAGAAATATGCCAATGTAAAATTTACAATTAGGCAAAATATCAACCTTAGATTAGCAGAAATTTTGTCATGTATGCCACATACATTTGAAACTATGTTAATCTAAGGGTTTTTTTAATTAATTTTAAATAGCTGTTATTATTGTTATCTTAGAAGCAGTAATAGAATTCTCTTTGTTAGCATGCAGATAAAAAAAAAAATTATCATAAATAAATATGCATGTATTAAAAAAAGGGGGCCTGGCACGGTTTAAAAAATAAAGAAAATGGAACTTTATGTTAAAAGTAGGGCATTTTATCTATTATTTTAAAATTGAGTAAGTATAATTAAATTTTTCAATATTCAGTGTAAAATGCATACAGCAGTAACATTGTCTCTTCCAAATTAGAGCTATCTTTCACACACAGTTAATTTTAAATGCTGGTTCTTCAAATTTAAAATGCTAATTTCTATGTTGTGAATTGCAGCTCAGTGTCAGCATGACTACGTGGTCACTTCTCATTTCCTGTTTCAGGGGGAAAAGCTCTATGAACTAGCCCTTCTCTTCTAAGCCCTGGATTCAGTCAGATCAGAGCTGGATCATCCATGAAATTTGTTTATTTAAGCACATGTTTAGGGCATCAAGGAAAAGCAGCACGACAAAAATTTCTCCTTGCTTGTTTTACCATGGGATGAATGATGCAACTAAACCAAGATAAGAAGAATAAAAAGGGAAAAACTAATGTGTATGTAATATATGGGGACACCAAAATGTTAATCTAAAAGTCTTAATCCGGCTCTGCCCATGACATTTGGGAGGGGTGACTTCATTGTTTCCGTTAGCTATATTTCATATAGTTAACTTGATTGTATATCAGTGCTTACCCACTTCCTTAAAAAGTGCTGCTTGGGCAAAATTAATTCTATTACAGTTCTAAACAAAATAATCATTTCACATTCTTATGTATATGAATAATCCTGGCAAATAAAAGCAGTTATGAACTTTTAACTAACAAGAAAAGTACTTTTATTTTGTTTTTCAATACAAAATTTGTTTATTTAATTTTTTTTTAAATAAAAGTAAACATAATGAATGTGCAGTCTTCTTTTAGTTATTTACAAACTGATTTCTGATACTTTATTTATATACATATTGCATTGAATATTAAAAAAAAAATTTTTTTTCTTCTTTTTTAGAATTTTTTAGCATTATGTGCAAGTAACTATTATGATGGATGTTTATTTCACAGGAATATTAAAGGCTTCATTGTTCAGACAGGTGATCCAACAGGTCAGTTCTAACAATTTTTACTTTCATAGCTACTTTCTGCTTACCTGCACCCCTACTGAAGTCAAGAACTTGTTGCTGATATTGAAGAGTGTTCATGAACTCGTTGTCGATTAATTTTTTGCCAAGCTCACATAAGGCAACAGCCATTTTCAAAATGGCAGTGCACTAAGAATTCCACACAAGAACAATCCAGCAGTCGTAATTTAAAAACAAGAAATATCAATAATAAAACAACTTTTTTTAGAAATGCTTCCTTTGTGCTCCCTATGTACACAGCAGTTTCTTTTTGCTTTACAAAAAATCTGATAATTGCACAAACTCAGCTTCCATGTAATTTGGCATTGTGCATTCGCCAGAACAGACCTGTGCTATGTGCATACTTGGGTTGCCATATACAGTCAAAAGTCGTTAATTCGGACACCCATAATCCGGACCTCAAAGCAACAAACTTTCTGCGCATGCGCATAGGCGTTTACGTGTGCGCATAAGACCTTTACGGCTGTGAATATGCGTGTGCGCATAAAACGTTTACGCATGCGTTTAATGTAAACGGACGGTATAAGCTAAGCTAAAATTTCTATACAGTTATGTTGCAGATTGCTTTGTTTCTTAATCTTCGAATTGGATCCGCTTATTATTTTTTGCAGATGTTAGAACAATTTTTAAAAGTAAGCTTGAACTTTCGATTATACAAATAGAATTTCCGATATATTGCTAATATAAAGGATCAAAGCGAAAGTATGTTTCGAACCGATCTGTTTCAATTTCACGCTGCTCAGCGGGGGAACGCCGCGGCGCGCATGAATTGGAAGTTGATCTGTCAGCACTATCCTTATCAGGGCAGATGTTTATTTTATTGGCTTATATTCCTAAATTAGTATTTCATCTAGATGTACTCGTCTTCTTGATTTTAAAACAATTCCTCGTCTTATAATTTGCTTCCGATAGTCAAGAAAGTGACAGAGGTTATTGAAAACGAAAAAATTTCGATTGACAAATTAGTCGGTATTCTCTACACGCAATATAGGACTTGAACAGCGGAACTTGTAATAAACCAAATTATGTCTGTTTAATAGAATTAAAGAGAAAGTATTATCACATGAAACGAAACAACTTGCATTGAAAGAAATGTTAAATAAAGTATACAAATAAATATTAAGCTTTTTTTGTAAATTTTGATACCCGTTAGATCATAATTGTTCTTTATTTCATAAATTATGGTTTCATATTTTTAATTTTTTTGTAATTTCTGCATGCCATCTTACCAGATTTAAAATGATGATCTATAATCCGGAAAAATCGATAATCCGGAACCGCTGAAGTCCCAATGAGTCCGTATTAACGACTTTTGACTGTAAATACTTTTGGGCAACATCATGGGTTTCCAAATAATTATTTTGGCAACATACTGCTTTTCGTTTTGAAAAACTCTTTTAGAACTTTTCAGCAGAAGTGCTGATAATCAGTAAGTATTCTTTCATAATAGCAATTACATTTGCTTTCTGCAAGATGAAAATATGAAATTTCGAAATACATATAATATATATACATTTATACTCTGATACCTTATTGTAGTTTTGGCCGTATTGCCTTTGTTATTGCAACCATGTTAGTATAAGTCTCCAAATTTTCGGAATGGGTCAAATTCTGGTAACCATGTACATAACCATTCTTCAGGCAACCATTCTTATAACAATCCTTTAATGAAGCAACGTCACGATTTTTGTGTGTTTTCTTTTTGTTGTATTTCAGTTTCCAATTGTTTTTTAAACAAATCATGGTATTTTTTGCTCTGAACTTAATTTTAAAATATGCATTTGGGAAATCTGATGTATCATACTATCCTTATTTAATAAGTAAAAATTTGTATTTTAAATTGCTAAAGTATGTTTTGTTTTCATATACTGATAATGTGTGCCAACTTAGAATAAATATTGTTTGAGAATGCTTAAAGAACATGCAAAAACCACAGACTTGTACCTGATAAGTAACTACTGATAATGTGTGCCAACTTAGAATAAATATTGATTGTTTGAGAATGCTTAAAGAACATGCAAAAAAACCGCAGACTTGTACCTGATAATAACTTTACTTTTAGTTCTAAAAAATTCCAAACACCAAATAATGTATAATATAAGACGGTAAATTGTATTTAAGTAAGCACCGTAATTGTATTTTAAATTGCTAAAGTATGTTTTCTTTTCATATACTGATAATGTTTGCCAACTTAGAATATATTGATTGTTTGAGAATGCTTAAAGAACATGCAAAAACCGTAGATTTTCACCTGATAAGTAACTTTTACCTTTTCGTCTCTAAAAAATCTCCAAATTGCACCAAATGGCTGCTATAATACGTAAGTAGTGTAGTTTTTGTAGTAATTTATTTGTATGAACTTTAATCATCTGTTTAATACTTTTTTGACTCATCTATCTATTTTCACCGTTTCTTCTTTATTCAGCATCTTCTTTATGTTTGTTTAGCTACCTGTAGTAGTAATACATTAGAAATCCTTTTGAATAAGATCTGTAGGCATTGACTGAATGCACTAAAAGGCCAAATTTGGTAACTTGTTTACCATGATTAGCTATACTTTGTTTAATGTGCACACTGTGTAGACTGTGCATGATGCCAAATTGGGTCGTCTATTTATATCATGTCATGAACAGCTTTGCAATGGGAAGACTGTGTGATTCCAGTCTATGCAGTTCTGTGATATTTTCATTAAAACGGGGGGATCAGAGAATTTCACAAATTCAACATCATGCATCTTTTTGAGGGAAACTAGCTTATATTCACATTACACATGGAAAAAGCCATGAAAATCAAGCATACAGCCAGCCCATTTACCGGGATTGAATCAAAACAGAACTACCAGTATTCAGTGGTCTTAACCACTCTGACAGTAGTGGGACTAGTTAATAAGATAATATTTATGGTTATAATGTATAGAAATAGTTTTTCTTTTGCATGCAAAACTTAACATTTCTATCTTAGAATATTTGTCATTATAATTTTCACTGATTTAAAAATGCTAGACTTTCGATATTAGCTTAAAATTTGCACATGAAATGAATCTTATATGAAGTTTTCTAAATATTAATGAAAATTTTTCTAATGTTAAAGAATCTGTAAAATAATTCATTTCGAAGGAACTAATGGATTCTTCTTATGTGCTTTGATAAGCACATCTGGTAAGCTAATGATAAGCACATTGAACCCCATATTGGAAAGTCATATGCTCAATTCTTAATAAGGACACTCAATTTCTGTTGAAAAACCACAGAATTTGTTTCCATTTTTATGATTCCTCAAAAATTAAAAAGTAAGAAAACTAACTTCATTTTTTTAAAAGGCATTTAAATCATAATTATGCTTACACATTTTAATCTTAGGGAAATTTGAAAATTGTGTCCTATATGAATACATCGATTAACCACTTTTTCATTAATCATTAATTTACTGCAATTTAATTTTGCCCGTCCTCTCATTTCTTACCTTAAATATCTTATTCGGTCAATACTTTGCATAGCTCTGATTAGACATAACCATGCATAAAACATCTCTAAAATAAATGTATTTGAAAACTTTTTTAAAATGGCATTTATAAAAAGATTAAAAAAAGGCTTCTAGTTAATATTCATATTTGGGCTGATACATCATATTAATTATTTAAGATTGTTTTGCTGGAACTATAATTTTCAGGAAAAAATACAATGTTAATGTAAAATTTATTTTCATCTGTGGCCTTTAATTTTCTTTGATTTGGAAGGTGAATGCATTTGTATCTCCATTCTAAGTAAAGGATGCTGTTTAATGTCAGTATACTCAATGCTTGTTAAAATGACCATTCTGTTACAATGACTGTTATGAAAGGCCCCCAGTTAATGAGAATATTAAATTAATTTTTACTATGCTGATCATTCATTTTAATGTACTCTTTTCCTGTGTAAAGTGAGATGTTAAAAATATATTTATAGTGCTTGTTAATAGTCTTATTAATCATATCAAATAAAATTTTATTATCAGCATTTAATGCTGATGATAATAAAATCAGTAAAAGCTCAACTATCCAGAAAGCTTGCTGAATTCTAGAAATGGGAAATTTCTGGATGGATGTGTGCAAAATGCAATTCATGATAGAAAAGCCATATGAATCAAAGAAATTTCCAATAAAAAATATAAAAACATTCATCATCTTTGTTATCAGCTTGAGTATAGAAAGCCCATATTTAAAATTATGTAAGATTTTAAAAAATGCATTTTGTAGGCCTTCAACGCTGACCATGAAAGTTGGGGAAGGTGCGGCCGAACTTGCACAATCATTATGGTAGAAGCTTGAAGGAAAAAGGTCATTCCTTATTTAATTAGAATTATAAGATTCAAATCACAGATATAGTGTATAAAAATGTTAAATCATATATCATTATTTTTTATGTTGCATTACCACTTTTTATTAGTCGCGTATCGCGACCCTTAAAACATATTAAATGTGTCTCTTAAATTGCTTTTTTCTTGAGGCTTGGATCATATAACTTTGAAAACACTTCATATTGTTTCACAGAAGGGAAGCCCAAATTGTAAGCATTTTTCAAACTGTGAGGGGAAGCAGATAAATGACAGTTAACTTATATCATCTATTTATAAAAACTAAATATAAAAACTTTTATCTATATATAAAAACTAAACTAGCATATCGAGAATTAATCTGGTTTATACAAAACTAAGGTGAAGTACAGTCAAAAGTCGTTAATCCGGACTCGTCGGGACTTCGGCGATTCCGGATTATCGATTTTTCCGGATTATAGATCACAGTTTAAATTGTAAGATTTCATGCAGCATTATAAAATTAAAAATATGAAACCGTAATTTTGAAATAAAGAACAATTATGATCTAAGGGTATCATAATTTACAAAAAGAAAAACTTATATTTATTGTTTACTTATTAAACATTTCTTCAATTAAGTGTTCGTTTCATGATAATACTTTCACTTTAATT